CCGTTTAGAATCGTGTCCTCACGATTATTTACCAGTGGATCCAAAGCCTCCCGTTCCTCGCTGAGTTTCTGTTAAACTCGACACCTCCTCGATATCGCATGACGCAATGCGTTCCAAAATGACTTGCGCGATTTGATTGCCGGTGTGTACCTGGAAAGGTTGATTGGTGGTGTTGATCATCACCACGCGTACTTCTCCGGTGTAGTCTCAGTCGACGACTCCAGCACCAATGTCAATCCCTTTGACCGCTAATCCGCTTCGTGGGGCGATTCGCGCATAGGTGCCATAAGGGGCCTGCATTGCAATGCCGGTGCCGATGATCTTGCGACTTTGTGCCGGTATCTTAACGCTCTCGGCCGAGTAAAGATCAAATCCAGCGGCTTCTTCAGACCCTTGTTTCGGGAGAATTCCCCCCATCTGTTGTACCAAAAGAGTGGTATCGCACGTGAGTATGCGAATAGGTCATGTAAGAAGAGGGGGAATGCAAATTGTCATAGGGGCGGGCTTATCGGGGTGTCTTGCATGGAACTCTTGGAGAAGCTCTTGGCAGTTGGTCAAGTTTGCGCGTGACTCCCAAGAACGGCGATTGCAGTGGGGACTATGCTTCCAAAGAACTCGATATTCAAGATTTCCATTTCGATCGTGTCGTGAATCGAGAATTTCTTCTACTTCCCACTCCTCCTCGCCATTTACGAGGTCTGGGACTCTGGGTTCGCGTCGTTGCGAGAGATATGCCAGTTCCTTGAAAGGACTTAGTAGAGTTTCATTGAAGACGGGGTGTTGTCTCCATTGGCGGGGAAGTTCTAATTCATAGGCAGCAGTGCCGACTTTGCGTTTGACTTTGAATGGTCCGTATCACTTATCATCGAGCTTCTTCATTGGCCTGTCGGTTCGAATATTGACCCCTTCTAACCAAACTTTATCCCCTGCCTTGTACTCTGGTCTGTTCTTTCTTTTCCTATCGTAGAAGTGTTTCATGGATTCCTGTGCTAAACTGATGGCAGCACTGGTATCCTCGCATACCCAGCTCATTTGATCAACAAATTGTTGGACATTTTCACTTAGCCCTTCTCATACCAGTTGAGTTCCTTCGTAAGGGTGATATCCTTTGTTAACAAAGAAAGGGGTGTATCCGGTAGAGGAGTGGACTTTGTTATTGTACGAAAAGGCTGTAAGTGGCAACCATTCAGCCCAATCGGCTTGTCGGTAGTTGATGAATAGTCGGAGATACTGTTCTATCTCTCGGTTGATTCGTTCTGTTTGCCCATCTGTCTGAGGGTGATACGCGGTTGATGGGTTGGCTTCAATCCCGAGTGATCGGTATAACTCAGAGATGAACTGATTCTTGAATTCAGTTCCTCTATCGCTGATGATCTTTCGGGGTAGTCCATGATGTGCAACTACGTTATCTCGAAGTGCTTTCCCCCATCCTTCGGCGTTAAGCTTAATGGTACTTGGTTCTGCTTAGAGTACATGCAGACAACTACGAGGATGGCGTTGTATCCGAATGAGTCTGGTAATATGCCTATCTTGTCCATGGAGACTACCTCCCAGGATCCCGAAGGAATTTTGTTTGGAAATAGAAGTCCGGTAGGTCTTGTCGTGTGAACCTTGGTCTTCTGGCATTTCTCGCACCCGGCCACGTATCTCCGGATGTCTTCTCAAATTCTAGGCCACCAATAGTTGCGTGTGACCATTTCGTGCGTTTTGTATTGACCAGGATGTCCAGCCAATGGGGTGACATAGTGGTGAGTGATGATCTGTTCACGGAGTTTCCTATTTACTGGTACATAGATACGGTTTTTCCATGTCATGAGTCCGGTGCTATCCTCATTCCAATCTTTGTCCTTGTTCTGTAAGGCTATGGTAACTAACGAATCCCGATTCTTTTTGTATTTTTTAATTTCTGCGACCTAGTCCTGGTCGATTCCTTCTAAACTAAATACAGTACTATGGATCAAAGCACGAAAATGTTCTGGTTTTAACAGTATGATATCAGAATTGTCTTCTTTTCCCGCATTATGTCGCTTTTGATGAGATAGTCCATCCGCCTTGCCATTAGATTTCCCGGGTTTGTGATGCAACAAGTATTGGTATTCAGCTAATTCAGTTACCCATCGGGCCTGATGCCAATTGAGTTTCTGCGGCTTCCGGAAGTATTCTAGATTCTTGTGATCTGTCCATATTTCAAACAGATGTATGGCACCCATGAGGTACTGACGCCACTCATCAAGACTAGTCATGATTGTGAGAAGTTCCTTATCATAAATCTTGTACTTTCTTTTGGCAGCTGTCATAGCTTTGGACAGATAAGCAATGGGCTTCCATTTGCCATCTTGCTTCTGGGCTAATTCTGCTCCTACAGCAAAGTCTGAGGCGTCGCACTCTACTCGGTGTCGTAAAGAAAAGGTTAGGATAAGAAAAGTAAGTAAAAAATAAAAATGAGGTTTGGTATAAAGAAGATTCTAGGAGAAATCCTAGAAGGCTACTTTTTAATAAAAGAGAATGGAGTTTGGTCTGTTCTAAACTAAAAGCAAGAAGGGTATAGTATGGAATACTTAGATTTGGTTTTCCCAATCTTTTCCTTTCAGGGTTCACTGGGTTAGCCTTTCAACCAAGCTATCCTGGTGTTCGTGGGGGACTAATTCAAAGTCCACCTACTAATCTGCTTAAGTACTCTAAAGCCTCACTTGCCTGTTACAAGGGACTTTTTTTAAGGAATCTTAAAAGATGGGCTGTAAAAAGGTTTGGTTAGTAGCTTAAGGACTAGCTACTTGGGTTAGTAGAATAGGGTTTTTAGATAAGTAAGATAAGAGAGTAACAAAGACAAGTTAATGTCTTGGTTAACTTAGTAAGCTTTGGCTAGTAAGGACAATTTAATGTCCTTAGAGGATTTGTATAACTGAAGCA